GCTCTGAGAAATATTTTAGAAGAGAAATCAAAAAGTTCTCTTTTTGATGGATTGGGTTAAGGGTAAGAGAGAGAGGAAAATGCCAATAAGAAGAATGAGTATGTAGGTGGACGGGGTGGCTAAAAATAAGCAGGTTTGCTATGAGAGAGGTAGGGGAACAGCGTCACAAGCTGAGTTCTAGACCAGTTAATTTTGTGTCTAGGCATACATAAGCAAGTTGGAAGATGGATCCACAGATCTGGGAGATTACAAGTATTTTGGAGTTGTCAACATACAGACAGAATGTGAAGTCACAGGAATGAGTATCACCCACAGAAAGCAGGTAAGTTGAGAAGTGGGAGAGGAGAAAAAGCAAAAGATGATGAAGGAAAAAATCCTCAAAGGAAAGTTTATGATCACACCACCCCTTTTCCCCATCAACAAATAAACCCAAGTGACCTGTGTTAATTAACTATGGCTATTATTATCAAAGTGAGTTATTAGTGATTACCAATGCAGAGCACAACTAAAGGATGAATATCAACAGCTAAGAAAAGGATTAAAGATAAAAAATATGTACAAGATGCCCCACGCCACATTACCAATAATGCAAATAATGACAAGAATTTGCACTTATTCCTGAAAAGTTTCCAAGAGCAAGAAAAAGAATAGCTAAATGAATAAGCAATTACCATAAAATGAGATATTAAAATAATAAATAGCAGTAACAAAGGAAAAAAGCCTTGGCAATCTGTATTAGGTGGGGGAAGTAGGCTTAAAAGCGACAAGTATATACCAATGACCTGATCAGAAATTGTAAAGCTGGCTAGTTTTACCTTCAGTCCACAATCAGAACCTCCCTCATCCCCCTTATTTACTCTCTCTGTATTATATGAAAAACAAAACAATAACCACAAATTTACATTTAAGAAGCAGCGTCCCGAATAACTGTATGCTAGTAGTGTGCCATATTACACTGGAAGTATCCACCTCAAAAAACGACTCCAGATCGCTCTGCAGCCACCACTCTCCTCAGAGCACCACATTAGCTGGTGCTTACATAATAGCAGTACCAGGCTACTACAAGCTTCTAAATGTTTTGAATTAATACGTTTTTCATATAGGATGGATCATTTATCATTCCATACTTAAAGACATATACAGTTAATATTTTCCTCTTCTACAAAATCTATACTCATTAGCAAATAACTGCTCCTTTGATGTTTTCTCCAGTCTTAAGTTTTCTAAGCTCCAGATAAGCCTTTCCAGTTTACAGTAGTCCCCTATTACCTGCAGAAGATTAGACCAAGACCCCTCTGTTCAAAAAACCCATATACCTGGGTTTTTTCCATCTGATAATTGAGACAGCTATTAAGTGACTAAGGGGTGCAGGGGGTGGGCAGAGAGTGTCTATAGTGTGGCTACATTGGACAAAAACAATGACTCATGTCCCTGGTGGAATGGAGTGGGATGGTAGGAGACATCACCACGAAACTGAGAATACCATGCAATGTAAAACTTATGAATTCTTTATTTCTGGAATTTTCCATTTAATATTTTTGGACCACAGTTGACCACAGGTAACTGAAACCATGCAAAGTGAAACCAAGGATAAGGGGGCTATTGTATTTTCCATTACTAACTTTGTTTCCTTCACATCCAGCTGCTATTTCTTTATCAAACCTCATCTATTATTATCTTCCAAGCTCTACCCTAAAACTTAATGACTTGAGAAAACTCTCCCAGATAAGCCCAGCTTTCACTCAGTCACTCTTTTTCTCCAAATGTCTATGTAATTTTTAACTGTTATTTTTGCACTGTTTTATAACACCATTATACTTCACAAACATAAACTATGCTTTCTCCATGATACTATCGGCTCCCCTCAGGACATGATCTCTCATTTCCCATTTCTCCTACTCTTGCTGGGATTCTAGCACAACACTCTACCCACAATAGATTTGCAACAAATACCTAAACATAATGACTCATTAATAGAACATATCTGGTCAGTGAATAGCTACTGCATGCCAGGCACTGAGATTACAAAAATTATTTTTAAAAAGCTCCCTCTCTTTGGATTGTTGGGTGAGGAAGCAGGGTAAGGAAGGCATCCAAGAGAGGGCAGTGAGACAGAAGATTAGTTACACACAGGCAGGTTGATCAAATAAGAAAAAATATTCAAGATAATGACAGCTGTGTTTCTCACTGTAAAAGAAGGGAATTAGACATTTAAAATTTGAAAACTAGACTTAACCCTTAGGAGTACAATCAGAATTGAAAGTATCACTGCTGTGAACTCTGAATTTTCGGTTATATCTGTGTACATTTGAGCATGCATGTATACACATGTACGTACATATATATAAATTCATGTATGTAAATACTTAAATATATTCTATATCTGTCCACTGAGAGAACTTGGGAGCAGTAACATCACAAAAGCAATAAATAACAACTAGCACCTAGGCTTACACATAAATACCGTTTTCCACCAAAAGGAATCAGGAAGCATTGAAGAAATGACTGCTTCCAATCCTGAGACAAAGAACATGCAATGACAACCTGGGAAATCCTGTTCTGCCAAAAAGCAAGGAAGTCCTCAAAGAATAATGGGGACATGCAAAAACATAAAGAAGTTTGAAGGGGCCAAATCAGGAAAATTTTGAGCATCAAAATAAACAATGACAGTAATAGATTAAAACTCATTTAAGTAAAATTAAAAATCATAAGCCGAATACATAAAAATTTAAGGATGAATAAATTAAAAGTTGGATGATAGAATACTTAACAGTTTCAAAGTATGCCCATAAAAATATGATTACAAAAGAGGAAAAATCTAACTTCATAATGGAGAAGTTTGGCAGATATCATCTCAATTAAATCACCAAAGGGAAGGTCTTGAGTAATGGGACAAATTAAAACTGTGCTCTACGATAATACAATGAGAAGCAAATAGTATCCATGACAGTCTTGCCAAAGATGCATAAGCTGAATATAATCATGCAACACAGACAAACTCAGATTGAGGACCTTTAATCCTCAAAAGTGTCAGGATACAGAAGTCAAGGAAAAGTCAGAACTATGTAGAAAATTCAGTTAAGACAGACAAAGAAGAATGATTGCATGGAAGAGGTAGTGACTGGTTTGCTTACATCAACAAACAGGAGAAAGAACTACAATAAAATTTCAAAAGAAAACTGAATTTGTAACTGGCTATTATTATTATTTTTTTAAGGCACAGTTTCCCTCTGTTACCCAGGCTGGAGTACAGTGGCATGATCTTGGCTCACTGCAACCTCCACCTCCTGGGTTCAAGCCATTCGCCTGCCTCAGCCTCCTAAGTAGCTGGGACTACAAGCAAACACCACCACGCCCGACTAATTTTTGTATTTTTAGTAGAGATGGCATTTCACCATGTTGGCCAGGCTGGTCTGGAACTCCTGACCTGACCTCAAATGATCCGCCCACTTCCCAAAGTGCTGAGATTATAGCTGTGAGCACTGCGCGTGGCTTGGTTTGTATTTTTACATTTATGCAATGATAAGGATGAGGAGTTCTTAACCTTTTTTGTGCCACAGTCCCCTTAAAGAGTCTGATGAGGCCTATGAACTCCTCATAATACTTTTAAATATATAAAACAAAATAAATATGATTACAAGGGAAATCAATTATATGGAAATACAATTATCAAAATGTTAAAAACATATTTGTGATATAGCAGTATATGTGATTTCTTTAAAATATGTGCTTTTCAATATATATATATATGCTTATTTTAAAAGAGTGAGACCAGTGCAGGGTGTAATCATAACCATAGTTGTGAAGTACCAGTAAGTATAAATGATATTTCAGTATATCTAACGCAACAGTAATGTGTCTGTTGACTACATGTTAAGAATACATGAATTAAAACTGAAAAGGAGGCTTAAATATCAGTGAGATTTGATGATCTTTCTATTCATTTCCATTCTTGATTATTTTGAAGGGTAGAAATGCAGGTGATTATTACCACATTTATGAAGAATGGAGTTCCAAGTAATGTTTGCCACACCTAAAACTGCTATACTGATATATACAACAGTATATAGCAATAAATTAAAAAATTTGGTGACATGTTAATGCCTAACAACAAAAATCATGAAGTTTCTATAAAATGAGACTATTCTTACCCATATACAAAAAACTATAAAATACTAATATCTGGCATTATAATTAAGAATTCTGATTCTAAATTATTCTCTGAGCCTATAAGTTAACAAATTTGTATATAATAAATTTTAGGAGAAAAAGACTACCTATTTAGAAGTATATTTGGAAGATGGAGTTAAATTTTCAGAGGAATGCTAAATTAGCTGTTTCTAATCTATATAACAAGAAGGACACTGAACAACTATCAGTTGTGTAGACATCAACAAAATCTTTTGGAATATTCTTGTCTTTAAGCCCTCTTTTTTTGCTTGTTGTTGAGAAGGAGTCTCCCTCTGTTGCCCAGGCTGGAGTGCAATGGCGAAATCTCGGCTCACTGCAACCTCCACCTCCCAAGTTCAGGCGTTTCTTCTGCCTCAGTCTCCCGAGTAACTGGGATCATAGGTGCCCTGTACGATGCCTGGCTAATTCTTGCATTTTTAGGAGGATGGGCTTTCACTACATTGGCCAGGCTGTTCTCGAACTCCTGAACTAAGGTGATACACCCCACTCAGCTGTCTAAGCCCTCTTAACTTAGATATTAGCTAAGTACGATATTTCTCACACTGTTCATTTTGGAGCTAAAAGTAAACCATTACAACCACTAAAAATATCTGAAATGCATTTTTATTAAAATCTCATGCAAATATCAACATTAAAAGAATCAGCAATACAATAATTTGGAACAAATATTAGATGTATTAACTTAATTATATCAATTCTAAACATGGTCTTGCCTGTCAAAATTTCTATGTCCCTTCTGTGATAAGCTATTTTAACGAAGTCTAATAATACACTACAATGTAATAAAAGAATAAACAATTTTGTCCTACCTAGTTACTTTGCAGCTTGATTCAATTAAATCATTTTCAAAGTCAAGCAGGCTGGAAGGCAGATTGTACTCTAGTGGAGATGTCAGTCTTTTCAAACGTAAAAGACCAACACAAAATTTTGCTCCCATCTCTTCCAATTCTCGGGTACCAATCTGTAAACCCTTGAAATAAAGAAATATTATGCATATAATTACAAAGTTTGCTATCTTCTGGCTACATCTCAATGAAATTATATAAAAGAATGTATAACTATATTAATAAAATTAAAAGGTTGGTACTTTGTATGGAACTAGGACTCAACAAGCTTAATGTCTCAACAATACAAGTATTCTAAGTCACAAAGGAAACTAACCTAAAACACAACTCCTAAAATGTCTATTCCCTTTCACTACAATGCAAACTATTTTCAGCATCACAGTACAGGGAAAAAAATACATTAACACTTTGTGGTTAATGTTACTTGTAGAATTCATGTGAATTTAAACTATTTAAACCAAAAAGTTGAAAAAACAAAAAAAATTTTAAAAAAAGAATGTAGAATTCATATGAATTCTACAAGTAACATTACTTATAGAATGTTAAAATACAGTTTTACTGCATTTTAACAAGAGCTTATTAGTACTTCTTGTAATCCACGGCTTTATATGCTAACGTTGAAATATTATAGTATGAAAATCAAGGCTCCAATATGAATACTTGAACATTACTTTATAGATACTTCTTCTGTATAAGAAACTCTAATCAATAAAAAACAAAAGGTAACTGTCAAAAAAAAAAAAGAATCAAATCTAAGCCAATGAAGTAGTAAAATAAATTCCTATGAACCACATCAATTCAAAATGCCCATTTTGAATTTTGTCTACTAAAGAAAAAAGAGTATTTTACCCCAACTTCCCATCTTTTTTAAAAAATGGTTTCCCAATAAGCAATGTAAGGTTTACCAAAAGTTAAATGTTATCACATAAAACCATAAAAATGGCCTGCAATTAATATACTCCTTATCATTTATTTTTCAGATACAAATAAATCCCTAGAAAAAGCAATATTCTTGTACCTATAAAAGTTGTAGGTGTAGATGACAGCTGATATCAATTCAAGAGAAAGCATTTTAAAACAGCTTTTCAGTGACCAGACTAAGTGAGTTCCTATGGCACACGGTAACTGAAGAAAATGAAATGTAACAACTGTTACTTAACTCTACATGAAGCACATAACTTTACAGTAATTATTTTTCAACTTTTTGGTTTAAATAGTTTGGCCATCTCCCAAATATTCTAGGAAACAGGACCTAGCTGACTTCATTAGAACATTAATTTGGTCTTTTAATTTGTAAGTTTTAGAAAAGTAATACTTGTTTCTGAATTAGTTCACAGACAATAAAAATAAAGAATACTTACAGCCTAACACTCAGTAGGATAAAAATATTGTTGGTGAAAAAGACTGTTACCTAAAATATTACCACACTCACACACTTATCAGTTACCAAGTTTAAGAGATGTTAAGTGTGTGTGAGGAGGATGGGAATATATGGGAGCTCTGTATACTTTCCACTCAATTTTCCTGTGAACTCAAAACTAAAAAATAAAGTCTATTAGGTTTTTTAAAAGTATATGTTAAGATCAAAACCCTGCATTTTAGATATTAAAGGAAAGCCCTAGCTTAGTAAGACACTTCCTTCAGTAAGAGTTTTAAATCAAGGTATACATTATTAACTAAACAGTATCAAAGAAAACTGAGTATTTATTAGGTATCCATTTTATTTGTAGAAGTTTATATATTTAAAGAATAACTTTTAAAATGAGTATTTGTTAGGCATCCATTTTATTTGTAAAGTTTATATATTTATATATCAAAAAACTTTTAAAATGAGTATTTATTAGGTATCCATTTTATTTGTAAAAGTCTGTATGTTTATATATTTTTAAAAACTCCAAAAATGGTTTAACAGTTTATATTTCAAAATCTTCGCTTTTTAAAAATCTTTTTTTTTAAATGACCAAACAAATTTATCAAAATAGAAATCAAAAAAAAAAAAATTTAATTCAACGAAAGTCTATCAGTGGAATCCAAATATAGTGACAAGGCACTACTATTGTATACCATGGATGACTTCAGGGGCATCCAAGTCATCAGTGTCCTGAAAGCTTCTTTCCCCACTGCCCAGAAGCTAGTTTCAGAGACAGTGATGCTCTGAGTCACCTTCTGCAGCCTAACACATAAATCATCTCTTTAAGAAGTCATAGTGTGTTTCCATAAATCAGAAAGCCCAAGGTTTTTTCCTAGAAATCACCTATATTATTATAAAAAGGTGATTCTCAAGTTTTTTTCACATCCCACACACTTACTCAATGAGACCCTTAACAACAGTTGTCCACTGAAGCAATGATCAGGGGACAGGGTTTGGAAGATGGGGTGGTGCTAATGCCACATTTTATCTCTCAGCACCATCATACCCTTGATAAACTAACTGGACTGACTAGAAGTCACTGTTTTTACAATATTCAGGGAGATCTCGTATTACACTTTGGAAGAAGAAGAATAGTATATTGTGATCAACCTAAAATTGAGGGAAGAGTCAGATCTCATATTACACTTTGGAAGAAGAAAAATAGTATATTGCAATCAACCTAAAATTGAGGGAAGAGTCACTGAACAGAAAGTACTGGAAACAGAAAGTACTGAAATTTCATAAGTTCTACTTTACTACTACTATACTTATTTCAGTAAGTTCTACTTTACTTTAGTATCACTTACAAAATCAATGTAATTTTCTTCCAGTTTGTTACAGACTGAAAAATTCATTATTTAAGCTCTCCTAAAATATTTCATGTCAACTATGTTTACTTTTTAAATGCTAAGGAGTTAGATGTTTCTTTTCAAACACAAAGTTATAACAATGTTTATGTGAGGTATATAAAAATCATTCTCAGATTCAGTATCCTCTTTCCACATAACAAAACAAACAAAATGCAAGGAGTGAAATAATTAGCATGACACCTGAAAATCTATCTGTGCCAAAGCAAGAAATAGAAATACTCAGTTTTGTTCATTGCTTATCTAAAGTCCAATTTATTACACATTAACTCTTCAATCTCTAAAATTAATAAATCCAAAATCACCTAACATTTTACTAGTATTTAATTTCAAAAGTGAAGTTTAAATTCTAATTATGTCCATTAAAAGTCTACAGTACCTCAAATGAGTAGTCTTAGTGAACAAAAAGTTTACTAAAGGGATATACATTTAAAAGTCACACATAAGCCTGGGTGTGGTGGCTCATGCCTATAATCACCGCACTTTGAGAGGCCAAGGCAGGAGGACTGCCTGAGGCCAGGAGTTTGAGACCAGTCTGGGCAATATAGTGAGACCCTGTCTCTATTTTTATTTTTCAAAATATAAACAAACAAACACATAAATAAAAGCTACACATACAAAAACCTAAATATAACTGCTTTATAAATAAGTATAATGTGTTTATTTTAAATGCATAAAAATATATTTATACCCAATAAATTAAAATAGAAAGTTTTTGTTAATAATGTACCAGTTGTACAGGTTATTATAAATTACTAATGAATAAGTGTGTACTCTAATGTGCTTTCTTAAAAATTATGACTATAAACAGACTCAAATAACCAAGAATTTCTTAAGGATCCAAGCAAACTATTTAGTTCAGAGAAGTAAAGAAATCAACAAAACAAAAAAATAAAAACCTATTCTTAAGATTGTATATGATTCCACTATTACAAATTACATGTAACTCAATAAAACAAACACCATTTAATATATACTTAAAAACCACAAGATATAAATGAAAGGGAAGTCTTCAAATATCTTTCATAGTTAGAAAACCTGAGATGTTTTACCTTGTATTTTCCCTGATCACAGCCACATAAAGTACTCTCCATGGTATAACTTCTTTGTACTCCTATTTCCCTCCAAACTACAACACGTGCTGTGGATTCTTTAGATTTTTCCACTACAAAGCTACAGCTGCTCATGCAAAATGCTGGGGCAATATGGCTCAGTATCTTAGGCAATGTCTGTTAAAAACAAGAATGATGATGATAAAATAAACCAAGAGGTAGTTTTTAATTTTTAAATGTTTTTCATTTTTAAAAGTTTTGATGAAAACACAGTAATTAGAGCAAAGCCATGTGGAGGTTCTATTATATATCCCTTGTCATTGAAACAGCAAAACATGCCTCTTAACTAATTTTGAATTTTCTGCTTTTCTAAACGAACATAGTATCCAGTTAGAAAACACAATGGAGGAATCATATTCACAGCATAAACAATAAGCAAAATAAAATCATTTGAGAAAACCATGTCTAAAAATATGAAAAAAGTTTAAAATGTGAAATTTAATCATAAAAGACTTATTGAGATATTTAACACTGTAAATGCCAGTCATCCCTAAATTAATTAATAAAGCTAGACAATCACAATCAAAGCTACCCCCAAGTTTTCTGCAACTGAAATTATTCTCAATTTCACCTGAAAGCATAAATATAGAAGTACGCCCTGAGAAATTGGGGTGGGGGGAGGCTATGACTGGAGAAATAATCCCACATATCAAACTAACTTATAGATATAAAATAAGTTAAATTGTGATACTGATAAAGGAACAGATACATCTCTAGAAAGAAAGAGAGCTCAGAATTAGAACCCAATGCATTAAACTTATTATCATCATTATTATTAGTGGAGAAAAGACTGATCATTCATTAAATATTGACACCACTGGATAGCCATTAAGAAAAAAAGCTGTTCTTTATCAAACCATCTAAGCAATAAATGTTATATTTTAAAAGCGGCAAAAAAAAATGGTTGGAAGACATTGTCAGTGAACCTTAGAAATGCGGACATTAACTAAGGGAAATTAAAGTTACTCTTGTTATTTATGAAAATAATAATATTTTATAAAAAAAAAAAAAAAAAAAAAAAAAAAAAAAAAAAAAAAAAAAAAAAAAAAAAAAAAAAAAAAAAAAAAAAAGAAAAGAAAAACAATCTAAAGTCATTCTTCATTAAATTCTAGCTGGATTGAGAATGTAAACTTAAAATTAATAAATATTTTAAAATGAAACTAGAAATAGTAAAACATGGTACTGTACTTTTGAAACTTAGGATGAAAAAAATCTTTCTAAAGCCTCAAAACCCCAAAAACAATTTATGAAATTAACAAATATGATAAAACTTCATAAAAAATTAGAAAACATATTTGTAATATATAGAGAGAGTTCTTTTTTTGGAGATGGAGTTTCGCTCTTGTTGTCCAGGCTGGAGTGCAATGGCACAATCTCGGCTCACCACAACCTCTGCCTCTCAGGTTCAAGCGATTCTCCTGCCTCGGCCTCCTGAATAGGTGGGATTACAGAAATGCACCACCATGCCTGGCTTATTTTGTATTTTTAGTAGAGACAGGGTTTCTCCATGTTGGTCAGGCTGGTCTCAAACCCCCGACCTCAGGTGATCCACCCGCCTTGACTTCCCAAAGTGTTGGGATTACAGGTGTGAGCCACCACACCTGGCCTACAGAGTTCTTATTTAAAAAACACTAACAATTATATGACCTATACAAAAGTAAGTAGAAAATATGAGAAAAGGCCATTTCAAAAGACAGAGATCATAACTGGCCAAAACATGGGAAAACTCAACCTTATTTATAATTATAGGTATGATGGTTAACAATCAGATATTATTTTCACCTGGCAAAGATGACAGTACAATGTAATAAGGGTGTGGAAAAACAGTACTAGCATTCATAGTATTTGGTAGTATCAATTTGTACAATCTTTATGAAAGACAATTTGGCAATACTTATTAAATGACTACCAACATAGACTACTAAGTAAGTAAATTTTGGTACAGTCTACAAAAATAACAAAAATACACAATGGAAATCTTTGCCTGGCTGTTTAAAAGACTAAGACAGATTCAGACAGGATGATCTGAAAAGATGATCAATAAATATTATCATGGGAAAAAGCAAGTTGCTGTGCAGTGTTTAAAAAATAAAAAGACAAAAACCGCATATACTACATGCATATCTATATGGATGTGCTCAGAGGCAAGTCTTACAATATACAGGGTAAAACTGTCTAGTGTTAAGATAATGACTAGGAAAAGATGACTTTCACTTACTACTTTATACCTGGAGTGTTTCCATTTTCTATATAATTCTAATCATTTTATTTATTTGGGGAAAGGGAAGGAAAGAGAGGGCACCCCCCCCCAAAAAAAAAAATGTGCTTTGAAGCTCTGCTAAAAGCAGCAGTAGGTTACCAAAAATGTTTTTTGGAAAATAGCCTAGGGCACTTGTTTAGGCATAACTGTAGGAATAGAGAGAGGCACTGTGACAGAATGGAAAGCACACAGGACTTAAAGAAACACAGCTCATTTCAGTCCTAGGCACACCATATTTTCGCCAAGGCCTCAAGCATGTCAACTGACTCAGGTGTCTTAGTGGACTTATTTGTACAGTAGCAATGATAATCCCTACCTACATCACGGAGCATTGTGAGGTTCCTATGAAACTATACTAAAAGTTATAAGCACAATATAAATAAAGTAATATAATTGTAGATGTTTGTCTATATTTATAATTAATTCATCCATCCATTCAACAAATATTTACTTAATGCCCAAGAAGAATCAGGCATACTTAGTCAAAGAAATAAACAAAAGTCCTAATTTACATTATTGTTAGTCATCTCATTCAGGAATGATGATCTACTATCCATAATATTTAGCAATATTAAAAGGTACTGAAAACGCTAATAGTTTTATTGAAGCTAAATCACACATTTTTGTAGCATCACATGCTATGATGTTCACCTTACTGGAAGGATGCTATGATGTTCCCCTTATTGGAAGCAAATATATGATTTAGCTTCCATTTTTTAAAAATCCATTATGTTTCAAAATCCAAAACTTTTTGAATGTCAACATGATACTCAAAGGAAATGCTAGTTGGAGCATTTTGGAATTAGGAATGCTCAAACCAGCAAGTATGATACAAATATTCCAAGAAACAAACCAAAAAATCTGAAATCTGAAACACTTCTAGTCCCAAGCATTTTAGATAAGGGACACTCAACCTGCAATAATCAACATTTTTGTAAACCTTTTATTTTAAGCTAATTTTAAACTTAGAGAAAAGTTGCAAAAACAGTACAAAGAATTTTCATTTTTCTATCAACCTGAATGTTAATATCTTAACCACAGTTCAGTATCAGAATAAAAAACTAGAACTGATGCAATACTATTGAGAGACCTCATTCAAATAGGTCTATCAATATGTCATCAGTTTTTCTAATGCCCTGTTTCAGGATCCCATCCAGAATCTCACATTGTATCTAGTTATTGTTTCTCTTTAGTCTCCTGCAGTCTGTAACAGTTCCCTTGTCCTTCCATAACTTTAAGAATCTTGATACTTTTGAAGAGTATTGATTAGTTATGTTTTCAAATGACACTCAATTTAGGCCAGGCACCGTGGTTCACACCTGTAATCCCAGAACTTTGGGAGGTCAAGGCAGGCAGATCATTTGACATCAGGAGTTCAAGACAAGCCTGGCCAACATGGTAAAACCCCATCTCTAATAAAAATACAAAAAAAAATTAGCTGGGGGTGGTGGCATGTGCCTGTAATCCCAGCTACTTGGGAGGCTAAAGCAGGACAATCATTTGAACCCAGGAGATGAAGGCTGCAGTGAGCCAAGATCGATCGTGCCACTGCACTCCGGCCTGGGTGATGGAGTGAGACTCTGTCTCCAAAAAAAAAAAAAAAAAAAAAAAACAAAGACACTCCATTTACATGCCATAATTTTTTGTATTTTCCCCTAAGACATAAGCATTTGCACTAAGTAGTACTATGATTTATCATCAGAAACATGGTATTTATGTGTATTAGTCCATCCCTTCCCAACCTATCTGCAAAAATGGGGTTCTATGGTATGGCAGTCGCCAACAAAAATGTCTCAATCCCCAGAATCTAGGAATATGTTATTTTATATGGCAAAAGGGGCTGTCTAGATGTGATTCAGTTAAGATTCTGAGATAGCAAGGTTATCCTGGATTATCTTAGTGGCCCTTGCCATCACAGGGGCTCTCATAAGGGGAAGAGGAAGGCAGCAGCAGGAGAGAAGGAGATGTGACAATGGAAGTAGAGGTCAGATTTCACTCCTGGCTGAACAGGACCATGATGCAAGGAACACAGATATACTAGGGGCCAGGCACCATGGAGAAGAACAAAGAAACAATTCTACCAGAGCCTCAAAAAATAGTGTAGTCCTGATGACATTTTGATTTTAACTCAGTGAACCCTGCATTGGACTCCTGATGGGCAGAACTGTAGTTCTGCTATGTTTCTGGTAGTGCTATATAACAACAATAGGAACTAACGATTATAAAATTAAGGGAAATACTCCACTTTCACACACATTTACACCACATATATACACACACAACCCTGGAAATGTAAGATGCTTATTAGCATGTGAAGATTCTGAGGTGTCCTAAGGAAAAGAAACAAAGTTAGCTGTATCTAATGCAATTACCAAATGTAAGTGATTATACAACTATTGGTGAGGGGAGGTGTATGTGAAACAGCTGTTAACATCTTGAGAAATGATATTTGAGGAAAAGTGGACTATTTAATTACAGCATCGCCTTATGTTTCCTTTCACAACAAAAATCAAAAAAATTCATCAAAGAAATTTGGGACAAGATAATTTTAATGAAAAAAACAGACCAAACAGTTAATTTTATCTCTTACAATGGGAAAAATATCTTGCATTTACCTTCCCACACGTCTGTCTGCCATTCATCCAACAACCCACCTAACAACAAATACCTACTGAGTACTTATTATGAATAAGGTATTGTGCTTTATAGTGGCAATATTGACAAAAGGAGCAAATCAGACGTATTTGCTAGGCATATGGAGCTTACTACCTAGTACAAAGAGAACCCCATTAATCAAATAACATAGAAAATCTTACAATTATAATTCTTAGGTGGTACGAAGGAGAGATAATCCTATAGATGTATGATCTGATTTCATTTTGGGGCCTAAGTGAGAATTCCTTGAGAAGTGAAGTATGATTTAAGCAGAAACGACCAGGTGAGGCAATGGTGGCAATGATGGCCCTGTTCCAGAGAGCAGTCTATGGGAAGGCTCTGTGCATGTGCTCTTCGTCTAGCTTTCTCCCACTCTCTGGGCCTCTCACTAGTCTCATTTTCTTACGTTTATTTATCTGGGTCTCAGCTAAATAGTCCCCTTTACTGTATCACTGAGCTCTGCTAATCTAAACTTGGTTTCTTTTATTCAGTGCAGTCTAACGTAATAAAACTCTATTTCTGAAGGTTGTATGGCAGGAACACTTATTGACTGTTGACATGTTGGGCATTTTACATACATTATTGGGGTCTTCCCCATCTTTATCCTGGGCTTTGTCTCTCTCTTGAACTTAATTTCTGTATGCCTTCCTCTTTCATATATTCCTTTACAGTATTTTGGTAAGAATGTCTTCCAGCAGCTTCCAAAGAAAGGCTATTTGTGAGGTAAATTTTTGAGACTTTTAAATGTCTAAAAACATCCTTTTTTATTTTCACACTTGACAGAATGAAGTATGAAATTTATAGGTTAGAAATCTAGTTGAGAATTGTGAAGGCTTTGCACCACAAAGTTTTGCTTCCAGTGTTGCCACTGTGAAATGTGATGCCATTCTTATATGTAATCCTTTGTAGAAGAATCTGAAAAATGTGTAGGAATCTTTTCTGAAAAAAAAAATCAATAGCTTTCCTATGTACCAGCAATGATCAATTGGGGGCAGGCAGATATGTAGGGAAAAATTCCATTCCCAACTGCAATAAAATTCATAAAGTATTTGGGAATAAATCTAACAAACATTTCATACCTATGTGAAGAAATTTTATACTTTATTGAATATAAGACTTGACTAGACACATAGGCAATAGTCACAGATGACAATGTTATATATCATTATAATAATTCTCTCCAACTTTAGATTCAAGGCAGCTCTAATGCAAATTCCAAAAAAGTTTATCTACAAATGGATCCTAAAATTCACAAGTACAGAGAAAAAAAAGAGTCAAAGCAATTCTTAAAAGAATAAGAAAAGAAAATTTGCCCTACAATATATCAACATTAATTATAAATCTACAGTAATTTTAAAAATGCTGTTTGCAAAGAGACAGAAAATAATAGCCTCGCCATACACCCATATATGTGAAATAAGGTATGTAACAGATGGCATCATCAAATTGACAGAGGAAGAGATACTATCCAGTTAATGGTGCAAGCCAACTGGTATTCATAGAGAAAACAGAATTAGATCCCTACATCTCACACAAAGATGAATTCCAAATAGATGAAAAATATGAACATGAAAAACTTTTAAAATGAAAAATCTGAAACAAAAATGGCAAAATGTCAACATTTACTGAATCTTAGTTCATATATGTTAATATGTGTATTTTCTATACTTTTATGCATGTTTGAAATTCAAAAACTCATGAATGATCTATAATAATTACCCTGTATCCCGTATCTTCTACAACATCACATGAAGTTGCATTATCATTGGTATGCCACACTGTCTCCTTGATGCTGCAACCATACATAAATACGTTTTTCTTTCGGGAATGGCCATGATAATCACAATAAACCTTGAAAATACATATTTTAAAAATTAAAAGACTTCATTATATTACTAAGTAAAGGTAGTTAATATCAAGCCAATAAACATGTAGGTCTGTGTTCCTTGGTCTTTTTATTGTAAATAAACACGTCTTTTATTTTTTATTTTTTTAAAAATGATGCTCTTAAAAATTAAATTAAAACCATACCCTTCTTTATGGTGTTTTTTAATAAATAAGAGCATTTTCTTGTTGGTTTTTTTTTGTTGTTGTTATTTGTTTTTAAATTTATTTTGTCGTTATTGTTTCTTGTAAAAGAGCCACCATTTAACAATTATGACCAATAAAAGTGGTAATACCTAGTTTGGGAAAGGATCTATAATTAAATCTAGAATTGTCAAATCCTTTAAAGGTCCTATATCACCTTTGTATTTACTATTCACCATTTTTTAAATAATACATTTCATTACAGTTCAAATCTACAGCTGTAGTGACTGCTGCCCCAAATGGTTATAAAAGCATTTACCTAATTTGGCCTGGAGCAGTGCCTCATGCCTGTAATCCCAGCACTTTGGGAGGTGGAGGTGGGTGGATCACCAGAGGTTAGGAGTTCAATGCCAGCCTGACCAACATGGCAAAACCCCATTTATACTAAAAATACAAAAATTAGCCAGGATTGGTTGTGGGTGCCTGTAATTCCAGCTACTTGGGAGGCGGAGGCAAGAGAATAGCTTGAACCTGGGAGGTGGAGGTTGCAGTGAGCCAAGGTCATACCACTGCACTCCAGACTGGGCAACAAGAGCAAAAATTTGTCTCAAAAAAAAAATTTTTTTTAACTTAAAAACAAACAACAACAACAATAAATAAAACAAGAAAATGCTATTATTTTTTTTAAAAAACATCATAAAGAAGGGCATGGTTCTAATTTAATTTTTAAGAGCATTATTTTTTAAAAAATAAAAAATAAAAGACGTCAATTTTACTCCTCTACAAAGTCTTTCTTTCTTAAAGAAAGGTTAAATAATATACATACTAATATAACAAAAACATTCTAATCAAAAGCTGGTGAGAACAGAAGCAGCATATGTATATAGTTCAGTCCAGTCATGCCTGTACTATATTTCCCATGTGTGTAGTAGAGATTTAACAGCTTCAGAGCTGACTAGAAAACTCAGAATAAGCTTCTAGTTTGAGAATTTGGAAGATACATATTGTTACCTTAGTGTTGTTCAAACAGTGAAGTTAAGTATCTAAAACCAAGAGTTATCAATATTCATAACCAAAAAAGAAAAGTAAAAGGTTTATGAGAATTATAAACATTCAACCTTGTAAAATTAAGGATACGAACATAATGGATGAATCTGACCCCACGATTATTACACAAGTACTTGATAACAAAAAAATGACATTTTATCTTTGACTATACCAAGTAAAAATAAGTATTGCTACTTACCAAAGGTAAACGCTTCACTGCAGCCAAGTATTGCAACAGCCCCTTAGCATGGTAAATCGTAGGATGTAAATCCGGATTTGGACTTTGCCACTGCCTATTTAAATCCTCTCCACTTAAAGAACAGCGATGACTACATGTACATAAGCACAAAGACAGAAAAACACTGGTACCAATAAACCCTTACGTACATTTCTGATTTAACTTTATGATTCTATTCCACTAAGCATTTCAAATAGGTATAGATGGTAAGCTCAACCAAATGTATACTATATTCATCAAGTAAACATTTATTATTTGCTATGTGCAAGATTTTGTGTCACATTAATTTAACTGTGGTAAGTTTTCAGATTCATCATCAAAATTTTCAAAATATGGAAAAAAAAATCCTAATTCTGACTACATAATAATCATTTGTTTTGTTAGCATGCTGTATCTTGACTTCATCAGTTAAAGTGTTACCTAGGTGCTCTTTCTGACAAAGACAAGTATATGAAAAGTATACATTGTTGTAAAATATCAAATACTTTTTTGTTTATCTATGGGTACTAAGTAGGAAAACCATCATGTAAATAAATTATTTAGGCAAATAATCATAAAGTGATGACAAATATAAACAGAATTCTAACTGGTCAATATATTCTCAATTAAAAATAGACATCATTTTAGTTCCATAACATATTAACTAAGAAGAAATTCTGTTTTTAAAAAAAAATCAATAATTTTCTAATACGAGAAATATTCATGCTACTTCTACTGAAGTAAGACATATTATCCTCATCTTTGGAGATATTCACGACAACTTGACTAAATCCCATCTTTTAGAGCAGCACTACAGAGACCTTGTCAAATTACCAGAATAAATTTACTGTACTGACTATAATGCAGCCTCCTCTTACAAAGTAATTATCTTCCACTATTTCCCCTCTAAAGAACTGTCAGAAACTAGACCTCCTTATATTAGGAAGAGGTTAGCAGATAGGGCTAACATTCCAGGAGATCCCAGAAGAGTCTTAATCGTAGAACAATCTAGGTTCATGCCACTAACAAAAAAGAAAGGAATATGAGAGGTATGAGTTAATCTTTCTTATAACCTGACACTGTGATTTTTCTAAAACAATTCAGGCATTTTATGAAAGCATATTCTCATGGATACAGAATTTCTCATAATTTCATACCGTTACTAGTATCCAAAATATATATTCATTTAAAAGTTTATCTCAGGTGAATTTCCCACCAAAAATTTCTTTATTCTAGAAAAATCATTAAATTTTTTAACCTAGACACTATTATTTCAATAAGTTTATACAAGACAAGCGCAATGGTCTATAATATATTCTATAACTATTGCTTAACTTACTTTCCATTGATGACACCATCTGGATTTAGCATAGGCACAATTTTAAAAATATATGATTCTCGTAAGCTCTGAGCAGTAGGGTTATTGCTCATGAGATATTCCAATGTTCCTTTCATAACCCAACTTGCATTAGTTTCTCCAGGATGTACCCGAGCAGATAAGAAAACATAAGGGCGATTTCCTAAAGTACACATAAAATCTCAAATTAAAATGAACAGCTACTAAAAGTTTGTGTATTTTACTTTGGGGCTTTAGAAATGTCTCTAATTCAATTGTGAAATCTGATATAAATTAATAGAACTCAATGGTGTATCATACAAGCACTGCACTAGGCCCTATAAAAGAAACAAATATAAAATCAATAAAACCATATCCCGAAGGAGGTCATAATAGGACATAAAACAGTAAGTAGTATTTGATCCACTTATTTATTTCCCAATGACTAATTTAACATGTAAAATTAGTTACTTAATATCATGTTGATTTTATAAAGAACAAGTACTTGAGGGAAGTTTAAAATATAAAACTATTTTTCATAAAATCATGGGGAAAAGAAAGAAAATATAATTTTAGCTCTGTCTTATAGTTGCTCTGATAAGCATAGAGAAAAAAGTATATCTGCTCAGCAATTTACCCCCCAAAATTTCACTATACATTTAGATATACAAGTCTACAAAATAATCATTCAGCTCATCACTCATATTTTCATACATAATATGCTCTTTCTGTTTCCTGAAAATACTTTGCCTTCTTATCAAAATTGGAACAGTTTTATTTTTATTACTACAGCTGTACATTTGAGGCAATTGAAAAAATATAAATGGCAGGGGAAAATGAGTAGCTATTCAGTGCTATCTATCAAAACAACTGATAGGTTTCTGGTTGTTTTATTTACAAGTAAAATCAGTCCATTTCTAAACTGATAGTATTACTACATGGACTCTTAAAATAATTTGTTGTATTCAAAAGGATAAGAACTAAATGATAGTAGCAGCAAAAGAGATCTCAGAGAACATCTCACGTAGCCCCTTATTTTTAGGATAAGAAAATTGAGGCCCAGAGGTAGGCCCATGGCTGGACAATAACAGGGCCAAGACTAGAGCCCAAGTCTTCTGATGTCTGTTCCTATTATTATTTCCATTATAAAATAGAGAGAAAGCAAATCAAAGTAGGTGAGAATGACTGCTATTGTGAGTAAGGAAGACAGACTTACTGAACTGACAGATATGTTCATAATAATTAGACTCTGGCATTGCTGTTATAGTCACCAAGGGGCAGGTGTTTCCAGACAGGGTTTCACATAACACATCTTTCCGAAAATAGATTTGCTGAGGATTGTGTGCAGATTCCAATTTTTGAAGATGCATCTTGATAAAAATTTTAAAACAAAGTATACAATCACTTAAAAAGTCCCAATGATATACAGAAATAATGCATCCAGATCTCCACATAACTAGAATTGAATCAGATTCTTAACCCCTTATCCAAAACCCTCAGGGCCAGATGTAATCTAAACATCATTGTTTGGGAAACCTGAGAAAGGCGATACATTGTTTAAGTCATTAATTATGCAGCACCACCAAGGGGGTCAGGGTTGCAATCTGTAATACAAACATTATTTGTGCAGCAAAACATATGAAGAATCACCCTAAGTGGAATCAATATTCTAAATAAACTCAGGTCAGCCTTTGCCTCCAAATATGTTCCAAAAAACCTTTTGGCTTTCAAAGCCTTCTGAATTTTGAAATTGTAAGTGATTATAAGCCTGTAACAGCAACAATCTAAAGTTTGAAGAATAAAAATTATGTAGCACAAATTTTAACAATTTATTTTCCTGATTTCAAGATTAATATGGGTTTATTGTAAAATGTCTAAAGAAAAACTACAAAAAAAAAATATTAATGTTTTAAAGATTTAAAACTTCCATAACTGCACCGCCTGTATTACTACTAACACAATGTATATAAGCAAAATCATAATTACATAAGACTTTTATAACATGATTTTATCACTTAAAAATGTATACATACACACAAACACATATATATTTGTAATCATGAATACTATCCCACATCATTAAAAATGTTAAAATGTGTATTTTTTGAAAACACAAGTTTTAATGGTCATATTATCTGGCTATACCAAAAATAAATAGTTCAATCCCTTATTTTTAGATATTTACTTGGTTTTCAAACTTTTGCCTATGTTCATTCACATCATCACTATTGACTGAGTGGTCACTACTTTCCAGAAACTGTGCAGGGCACTGGGAATATAACAATGAATAAATGAACCCCACCCTAGGGAAAATAGAGAGTGCTATGAGAGCCTGTAATAAGAGCGGGGGAGCCTAGCCAAGTCTGGGCAGCGAGGAAATATCTTCTAGAGAAAACTATGTTTAAAGTAAAATCCAAAGGATGAGTGAAGACACGGAGATGAGTACTACAGGCAGAAGGAAAACTATTAAGAAGACCATAAGACAGAACAGGGCATTTCAAAGAATTCTGTAAGATTCATTATAGCTACAAAGGTGAGAAACGAAAAATCTGTCACAGAATGAAGGGCTTGGTAGACAGGTCTTCCCCAAAGCATGGTATACCTACAACTGGTAATTGAGATAACTAAGTGATATGTAGATAACCATTTTAAAACTTTAATAGGTATATGTTTTACATGAATTAGAAAAAAGTCTAGTACATTAAACTTTTCATGGATTTCACAGATACTGAGAATGAGGATACAATTTAAATGATTTCATGGATATTGAGGATGAGGATATACTTTAAAGAGTAATCTATTTTAAAGTCTATTTAAAGATAAATAATTGTTCAAATAGTAGGTGGATATGGCAAAAGAAAAAAAAAGTGGAGGGGCATTAGTAGAGAAAGGAAAGGGTGAACCATCATAAGAATTTTAGACTTCATACAAAGGGCAAGAGAAATCACTAAAGAGAGCAGGGTATTTTATTATAAGATTAGCTATAAAAGAGCCCTTTGGCTATAGTGGGGGGTGGGGGAGGAACTAATGAAGAGCAAAGGAGGCAAAACTGAATCATAGAACACCAGTTACAAAGAGGTTGGCAGAAGGCCAGGTGAGAAACAATGGTCATGCCTGAAAAACATCATGCTAAGGGATTGAAAGAAAGCAGAATTTAAAATATATTAAAAGGCACAATCAGTAAAGAACAATAACATAAAACCAGGCAAATATAAACAGTAAAAATATATTTGTATGTGCATTCTTATTTGTTTTCTTAGGAAAAATTACCCAAAAGTAGAAATACTAAGTTCGCACAGAAAGATACACGAACACTATACCTTTATGGTAAGTTATAACCTTCATTAAAGTACAGTAAGGCTCATTTAATGTTGTCAGCCTCATTTTGTATTCTTAAGGGTTTGATATCCCTTCTGTTCTATGGACTATGTTTTCTTTCATGTTCTCCCCTCTAATAATTTGGGAGCTTACTTCTTTTTTTTTTGAGACGGAGTTTCACTCTTGTTGCCCAGGCTGGAGTGCAATGGCGCAATCTCAGCTCACCGCAACCTCCGCCTCCTGGGTTCAGGCAATTCTCCTGCCTCAGCCTCCTGAGTAGCTGGGATTACAGGCATGCGCCACCATGCCCAAATGATTTTTTGTATTTTTAGTAGAGACGGGGTTTCACCATGTTGACCAGGATGGTCTCGATCTCTTGACCTCGTGATCCACCCGTCTCGGCCTCCCAAAGTGCTGGGATTACAGGCGTGAGCCACCGCGCCCGGCCCCGGGAGCTTACTTCTAATTATAGTGTTCCAATTTCTTTTTTTTTTTTTTTTTGAGACGGAGTTTTGCTCTTGTTACCCAGGCTGGAGTGCAATGGCGCGATCTCGGCTCACCGCACCCTCCGCCTCCCGGGTTCAGGCAATTCTCCTGCCCCAGCCTCCTGAGTCGCTGGGATTACAGGCACGCGCCACCATGCCCAGCTAATTTTTTGTATTTTTAGTAGAGACGGGGTTTCACCATGTTGACCAGGATGGTCTCGATCTCTTGACCTCGTGATCCACCCGCCTCGGCCTCCCAAAGTGCTGGGATTACAGGCTTGAGCCACGGTGCCCGGCCTCCAATTTCTTTATTGGTAAATTGATCACACCCTCATGATCCTTGACCATTAGAATAGACATTCTGTTCTGAGAATAAATCTATCACAGTTGATATTTAATTACTGAACTTTGTTCTGTTTTACAATGCAAATATTCAAAATCTCAAATGGTCTCACACAAAATAACTCTTATGCCCCAGATTTTTTGAAATCTGGATCTAGGTCTCCATAATGAAACCATTTCTTTCAGAAAAAGATCTCAATTTTTCCTTCAGAAAAACTCAAATTGCATCCAAATTTTTCTAACATTCTATTTTCTACGAGATTCTGGTTAAACATGCAGAAATCTCACCTGGTTAAAATTTGTAAATCATAGAATCTTAGCTTAGAGAACTGTGGATGTCAACAAAAGATGGGAAATAAAAATCATGTCAAAGTTCCTTAATATTTCTATTAAAAAAAACACACATTCCCATTTTACTCCTCAAGAAATTTCCAAAATCTTCAACACTAAACTCTTTTCTTATGATATTTAACTTAATTTTCCTTATATTAGGATATTTAAACTCAATTATTATCATTATCCTTAAGTTAGAATATTTAATTAAACTCAATTTTCTTCCATTATCTTACACATATCCATCTAATACAATTTAATTTAGAATTCTTACCTGCAAAGTTGAATATGTATATGGATAGTGATAAGCAAAGTAGCAAACATCATCTTTATGTGGAAAAGTGACAGTAAACGTAATTGTATAGTAAGATTTTCCCTTTTGCCCACCTGCAGCAACTGAACTTCTTGAGAAATGATTTCTGCAATAAAAAAGCATAAAACATTTTCATTTCATCCACACAAAAACTGATTTTCCTTGCTACTTTTATTAAATAGAACTTCAGGGAAAAAAAGAAAAACCCAAGTCTGTAAAAAGCTTACCTTAAATATCCTATTTAAAAAAAAAAAAAAAAAACTTAGTACTAATAAAGCAGTTGACTATTAGTCAACCACATTACATTACTTTTCACTTCCAAATTTACTAATTAAATGATCTAATACTCTTTACATCAAAAAAAATTTTTAGAACCCCATTCTTTGACATCCATACACATTACTGATCTAGAAGATGATCATCAATGGCTGCTACAATCAGGAAAGGCTGGTGGACACCTTTACGTGGATCAGGCTACAAGACCCGGGTTCACTAATCAATCTTAAGATTACAAAAAGAGAAACAATCAAAAATGATGTTTCATTGCACCACCAATTAAGTATTCTTGCCAAAAATCAAACCTGAAGTTGATCAACCTTCTAAATCTAATTACCAGTTTATAGGAAATTGGTGAGACAGAAATACTTGTTAACACCACAGGGGTGCAATCCAATAAAATCCAAATGTGAAAAACCCTACATGACAATCCAACTTTAGCTAATGAGTGACAAATTTTAAAAAAGAGAGAAAAGAAAAGGGAAGCCTATAAATTAACAGAGACTTAAGAGACATGTCAACAAAAATCAAATGCAATGTGTGATCCCTGGCTGGATTTTGATTAAATAAAAACCATAAAACAACATTTAGAGGCAATTGGAGAAGTTTGAACATTGGATATTTCATCACAGTAAAAAATCTGCTTAATTTTTCTGTGTTACAATAATGGCATTGTGGTTAGACTGTCTTAAAAGGCCTTTGTCTTTTAGAAAAACATATGTTAAGTATGCATGACTAAAATACAATATCTGAAAATGGCCTTAAAAATTCAGTGTGGAAGTAGGAGTGAAAGTATAGCTAAAACAAAACTCACCATGTGTTGATAATTGTTGAAACTGGGTGATGAATATATGGGGCCTCATTATCTTATTCTATGTTTTGTAAATGTTTGAAGATTTCCATAATAAAGTTTTAAAAACTACACATTACTCTCCAGAATCTAAATATTGCTGACATATGCTGACTTAAAGATGCTCTATCAACTTATTTCTAAAATTCTGAATCATCTGTATTATTTAAGCCATGAAATGAAGAAAACCCAAGGCCTAAAGGTTATTTTTTCATGTACATAAATGTTCAAAGTATTTTCAAATTGATATAGTCTTCATTAATTTATTCACAGTATCTTGAATAGATACCCAATGACAGAGTGCTAAGGATTAACAAAAATGCAAAACAAGTTCAAAAACTAGTCCTTGCCAACTCTTTTCCCACAAAAGTTTAACATTTAATTGGAGAGGTATTTGTATAACATTATAGCTATCTGGCAGTTTCTAGGTTATAAACCGGTAAGACATACATTATCTCATATAATGGTGAAAAGAAGTTTTAATCTATTTTATAGATAAGACAAGCATCACAGGACTTAGCTGACATAAAAAGTTAAAGCACAATGCAAAAGCAGACTTTAATCCTTATCATCTAAATTTTAGGGCGGGCACTTTTGTTCATGCCTGTAATCCCAGCACTTTGGGAGGCTGAAGCAGGTGGATCGCAACATGGTGAAAACCCAGTCTCTACAAAAAAGACGAAATTAGCCAGTTCTCAACTGTAGTCCCAGTTACTCAGGGAGCTGAGGTGGGAGAATCACTTCAGCCTGAAAATGATGACATGCTCTTGAGGCTGCAGTGCGCCAGGATTGCACCACTGCTCTCCAGCCTGGACAACAGAGCAAGACTGTGTTTCAAAAAAAAAAAAAAACGAAAATTAAAATAAATAAATCTATCTCAGGCTTCAGGAAAACAACTAGAATAGGGTCTTATACAGAAAGCGGCTAATAAGGCTGGGTGCAGTGGCTCAGGCTTGTAATCCCAGCAGTTTGAGAGGCCAACGTGGGCAGATTACAAGGTCAAGAGATCGAGATCATCCTGGCCAACATAGTGAAACCCTGTCTCTACTAAAAATACAAAAAGTAGCTGGGCATGGTGGCGCATGCCTATAGTCCCAGCTACTCAGGAGGCTGAGGCAGGAGAATCGCTTGAACCCAGGAGGCTGAGGTTGTGCACAGTGAGCCGAGGTCACACCACTGCACTCCACCCTGGCAACAGAGCAAGACTCCATCTCAAGAAAAAAAAAAAAAGAAAGAAAAGAAAGTGGTTAACAAATGTTTGTTGAGTTGAACTCCGCTTCCAGATCAGGAAGTAGTAGCCAAAGGAAACTAAACTAAAAAAATAAAATCCTTGGCCGGGCGCGGTGGCTCAAGCCTGTAATCCCAGCACTTTGGGAGGCCGAGGCGGGTGGATCACGAGGTCAAGAGATCGAGACCATCCTGGTCAACACGGTGAAACCCCGTCTCTACTAAAAAAATACAAAAAATTAGCTGGGCATGGTGGCACATGCCTGTAATCCCAGCTACTCGGGATGTTGAGGCAGGAGAATTGCCTGAACCCAGGAGGCGGAGGTTGCAGTGAGCCGAGATGGCGCCATTGCACTCCAGCCTGGGTAACAAGAGCAAAACTCTGTCCTCCAACAAAAAAACAAAAAAACAAAAAAATAAAATCCTTGCCATCACCCCTTACATAGACTAGAACAACTTGTCCTGCTACGATCATTCATTTTGCAATGTGAAAAAGCATTTACTGATTGACAATTTCTAATGTGAAAAAATAAAAATGCATGAAAGAAACAACACTTTTTGAAAAACATTGTTTCACTCTTTAATAGTCTAAATAATTCTGCTAAAATCTAGGAAGCACTGCCCAGTAATTACAGCTTCAACCAACTTTATGAGAAAGGGACAAGTGATCAAACAGATTTTTTATATTAGTCTACCATTAAAAGAAATACAAGATGTATTATGGTGCAGATGAATTACATATTACCTTTACTTCTGTTTCTCATTTATTTGCTATTTATTTCACTAATAAGAGTAAGGAAGAAATCTTACTGAGATGGATCCCAAGGAACATTTTCTTTCCCAGAAAGTAAGACTACTTAAGATCAAGTTTTTTCCAAAGCCATGTCAAAAGTTTAATTTTAGAAGCCTTCTTCTAATTGGTAAAGCTAAAAGAGGGGCATTAGTGCCAGTTAAGCACAATCTAAAAAGTCAAAATTCACTATACAGAAATGTCAGGATTGAAATCAATAACAGAGAAGATACAGGGGTGCCAAGTGGAATCAACAGTGAACATTACCTGAAAACATTTGCAGACACAGTGTAAAAAGGAAAAGTAAGATACGTGAGAATCCTCAAGTACTTAGAGGTGGAGCCGAAGAACAACCAAACTATTCCACAGAAGTAAATGATTTCTAGCACTTAGTATTATTTATTTATTTATTTTTGAGATGGAGTCTTGCTCTATCACCCAGGCTGGAGTGCAGTAGCACAATCTTGGCTCACTACAACCTCCCCTCCTCAGTTCAAGCAATTCTCTTGCCTCAGCCTCTCGAGTAGCTCTGATTACAGGCGTGCAGCACAATGCCTGGTTAATTTTTGTATTTTAGTAGAGACAGGTTTCACCATGCTGGCCAGGTTGGTTTCAAACTCCTGACCTCAGGTGATCCGCCCACCTCAGCCTCCCAAAGTGCTGCGAGGCAGGCGTGAGCCACTATGCCTGGCCTCTAGCACTTACTTCAAACTTGCTAAGTAGATCACGTATTTACAGTCAAAGATGAACCATGTAAGCTGATGTACTGTATTTAGAACACATCTCCAGTTAACATTTTGGAAATTAAAATGAGGCAAACATTTGTGTATTAATATAAAAAGGGAAAAAATAAGAGTTATACTTGATATCATAGGAAAAATAAAAAGCCACTGCAAATTATTACTCATAATTTCTAATTTCAGTTTTATTCAATAAGGTCTCCAGAGTTTTAAAGCTGGAAAAGCTGAGGACACATAACTCTCTAAGTGGTGGAGACACAGCCTGGACCTAAGTTTGTCTGCCTACACAACACATTTTACTTCTACTGTGTACACTCCATAAGTGGATCTCAAGTTCTAAAGCACTCTTTAGAATTACTAAAGCAATAGCACCACAATTCAAAGTATGCGGTAATAACTCTATTTCCTTTTACACTGAAACAGAATGTACTCAATATCATCTTCTGTAAGCTGATGTTCTATTAATATTATTCTTAAAATACTTACTTATAGTAACAAATGTCAGTCCCCATACGAATCCACCATGGTCTGCCATTTAATGCTTCTTGAACCGAATACATGAGTGGTTGCATACCTTTCAAAAAAACAGAGACAGAGAAAAAAAGAGAAAATTCTTTTCAGAATTTTTGAATTAAAAATTAATCTTCCCTTTGTAGAAGGCACCATTCAAGAAAGCTGAAATAAATTACATTCCAGTTATTTAGTATGTATTTTAAAAATCTGATGCATTTCTTAAACATCCCAAGTCAATCAATGGTATGCTTTTATTTTTTAGTTTAATAATACAGGATTACAACTTTAGGGTGAAAAGTCATTAAACTCTTTTCTATTAAATTTCTACATGAAATCAATTAAAGATAACATATTCCTTATAAAAAGTGAAACAAAAAATATGTAAGACATAATGTATAATCACTCCTCTAACTCTCCGTGGATTTCCATCTACACTGAAGTTAATGGGAAAATGCCACCAAAATGGTATGTTTGCTTTCTTCCCCACTTTTCCCCATACATGTTTGTGTTTGTAGGAGAGAAGAGGACGAGGGACTATTAACCAAAATATAGAGTATATTTTCTTGGGTATTCTTAGAAATATATTTTCCACATGAACTTTAAAATCATCTTACCTAACTTCTAAATGATACACTAGGTTTCTAAATGGAATTGAATTAAATTTATGTGGAGTACAGAAAGGTTGACAATTTTTATTGAGATCTGGTTTGACTTTCCTTAAATTCTAACTTAATGATAGAATCATTTTATTTTCCTGGTACAGAATAATTTTATTAAACTTATCTGTGAGTATTTTTATAAGATTCTTTTTTTCCTTTCCATTTCTGACTGGTTATTCCAACAATGAAGCACTATTCATTTATTGTTTTGTAATTCTCTTAATATTCATGTTATTGAATAAACTCACTAATTATAACAGGTTTTTAGTAGTCTCGTGGATTTTCTAGGAATATAATTAAAATATTTCATCTCCTTTTCTAATATTTATATCATTTATTTCATTTTCTACTCCATTTAGATAAATGAAACCTCAAAAAAATTATGCTGAATATAGTGGTAAGAACAAACAATTCTCTTTCATGACTTTAATCAAGACATTTTGCCATTCCATGTAAATATTTGTCACTTTTCTGCAAATCAACTTTGTCAGGCTTAAATAATAAAAAATAGCTAACAATGAATAATTTCTGTATATGAAACACTATTCTGTTTTTATATGTATTATGTAATTAAATCCTCACAACCACCTTTAGGTGGTAAATGCTTTTATTATTATCATTACTTGAGTAGTTTTATCATAATTTTTGTTATGCTTCAGTTTTAATTAACTTATCAAATGCCTTTTCAACATCTAATAACAATCAGATGGCTTTTCTCCTTTAAACTGCTGATGTAATAAATCACGTTGGTAGGTTTCCTATTGTTGAACTATCTTTGCATTCCCAGAAAATGCTGCTCTATTAACACTATGAGACCAAGTTTGCTAGTATTTAGAATTTTTGCAATTAAATTCTTAAGATGATCTTTCTTACTTCAATTTACTTTTACCACGTATTGGTAAAGATTATACTAGCTTCAGAAAAGTAAATTTTAAAACTTCCATCATTTATTAGAGTAAATAATAAAACGCACCATTTATCTTTTAAAGGATAAATATAATTCATCTGGAATGCCATGTAAATATGGTGACTTATTAATAAACATATATTTTTTTAATTTCCTTCCTTCCTTCCTTCACTCCTCTTTTATTTCTTTTTAAAATGGAGATGGGTCTCACTATGTTGCCCTAGCTGGTCTTGAACTCTTGGCCTAAAGGCTGCCACTTCAGCCTCCTAAAATGCTAGGATTATGCTGGCTGGCATGAGCCACTGCAACTAGCCCACTTTTGGTATTTCTATGACTTATATCTAGATATAAAAATGGTTTATATATTTTTAGCATTTATATGTAATAATTTTTTAATCATTCTCTTACTTTCTTTTGGTTTATTTTCTTTTTTTTTTTGAGACACAGTCTTGCTCTGTCACCCAGGCTGGCATGCAATGGTGCAACCTCAGCTCACTGCAACCTTGGCCTCCCAAGTTCAAGTTATTCTCCTGCCTCAGCCTCCCGAGTAGCTGGGATTACAGGTGCTGCCACCATGCCCAGCTAATTTTTGTATTTTTAGTAGAGATGGGGTTTCACCATGTTGGCCAGGCTGGTCTTGAACTCCTGACCTCAAGTGATCTGCCCACATCAGCCTCCCAAAGTGCTGCGATTACAGGCATGAGCCACCGCGCCTGGCCTATTTTCTTATTTTTTCTAATTTCTTAAGTTGGGTGCTTATTTTCAGTCTTTTTCATTTTAAATAATGTAAGTTATTAAAAGTTTTCAGTTTCCCTCTGAATACCAGTTTAGCTCTAACCCATCTAAGTCTGAAATGCTCTCCCTTGCACTTTCTAGCTGTCCCACTGAACTTTCTGCGAGCATGGAAAGGTTCTAAATCTGCACTGCCCAATGTGGCAACCACTAGCCACAAGTGGCTATTAAGTACCAGAAATGAGCCCAGCTCCAATGAAGAACTGAATTTTTTATATTAAATTATAATTAATATAAATTTAAATAGTCATGTGCAGCTGGTACAGGACAGCACAACTCTAAATAATTTGTAGCATTTGTTTTAAATTATACCTACTGATTTGTTAAAGAAGTTATTATGTAATTTCCAAGTACATATTTTTAATTGTTTTTTTATTTTTACTAATATTTTGAATCAAATATCTGTAGAATTTTAAAAATCATCAATAAGTTTTCTTTGTAGCAAAATGTATAATGAAGTCGTAAATGTTTCATGAACATAAAGATAACTTACACTTCTATAAAGAAACTGAAAAACTGAATAACAATTCTATGTAATTACATTATGATTCTGTACATATAGTTCACTGCAAAGCCAAGGTGTTGGCTTTTCAAAAGAAAATGTTTCCAGGGTCCAGTTCAAATAAATTATTTCATATACTTCATCAAATATTCCAACTTATATGACATTTTAATTTGTTTTACACTTGTAGTGTGACTTTTTTGCATTTTCTCATTGTTTTATCCTTTTATAGGAGAATTCATGAGCCTTTTTCCCAATGTCCCTAAGTTTTTGGTTTCTTTATCATGTTATATCATTTCTTAGAATCCAGACTACTTTTTTTTAAGTATATTTCCAAGATACCACCAACTTATAATTCTAATTTGGATGAGTTGCTTTCTAAGAAATCTCAGATTTCATTCTGTTATTTTTTCATCCTGTTATTTCTTTTCACTGGACTCCCAGATGAGTACCACTTTTTCTTGTATCTCACATCTCCCTCTCAGATTTCCAATGGGATCCTAGTGAATCAAAAAATCAAGCTTGTTGATTATATTATTCAAATTCTCTACAGCCTTACTTATTTTTGTTTTCTTGGTATATCAGATTCTGAAAGGAGTATTTAAATTCTCATGTTTTCTAATCAAGTTCATTTCTTGCAGCTGTTTGCCCTGCTTATGTAGGTGCTATGTGGCTAGGGTTGTTATGCTGTATAAAGGTTTACAGCATCTTCAAGGACTGCAACTTGTAAATACAAAATATCTGTCTTTATGCAAGTCAGTGTTTTTGACCTTGATGTTTTTGTCTAACACTATTTATCTTTTCTTTTCTAGATGGAGTCTCACTCTGTTGCCCAGGCTGGAGTGCAATGGTGCAATCTTGGCTCACTGCAACCTCCACCTCCCGGGTTCAAGCGATTCTCCTGCCTCAGCCTCTCAAGTAGCTGGGGACTACAGGCACGTGCCACCCACACCCAGCCAATTTTTCTATTTTTTGGTGGAGATGGGGTTTAACCATGTTGCCATGGCTGGTCTTGGACTCCTGACCTCAGGTGATCTGCTCACCTCAGCCTCCCAGAGTGCTGGGATTACAGGTGTGAAAGCCACCATGTCTGGCTGACTGACACTAATATTAACTACTTTTGCTTTATTTTCATTTTATCTGCCTAGTTTATCTTTGCCCAATCATCCATTTTCAACCTTTTTTGTCACTGCACACACACACACACACACACACACACACACACACACACACACACACACACACACTGGGTTGGGGGCAGAGAGACAGACACCCCACTACACTGTGTAACTTTCAATATCTGACGTTTTGAGGGTACTTCACACAGTTTATTCATAGTTGGTGATGATGGATATACATTTCACTTTATTCCTTCCATCTTATTTTCTACTTCTGGTATCAACAAATGGTTTTTTTTCTTCTTTACCTTTATTTTTATTGGTTTGGTTGCATTGCTGCACATTTTCTTTTATTCCTTAATTTGGAAGCTTTCTATCATGCTTTTCAATTCTGCTTTTCCACCTTCATAGTCACAATTAATTGATATTTTTCTAACATTATACTAAATTAAATAACTAAGGCATCCCACTGAGACAAGTTAACTTTCACTTTTCCTATATTACCCCCTTCAGAATATTTTTGGTTAAAATGTTTTACAGGTTCCAATACTTCTATCTTGAGACCTTTTACTCATTGATTTTATTCAGAGAAAGATCAGATAGCATATTTTCTGAATTACTGTTTTTGAGACAGATCTTCACTCTGTATATTTTCTGAATTCTTATAAACACTGACATGCAGTTTGTTAGCAGTGACAAACAATTTACAGATTCTTCAAAAGACATTTGGATGTCTACCAGCTTCCAGTGCTACAGATGAGCAGTCCAATACTAGTTTAATGTTTTAAATATACAGAAAAATATGATGATTAAGAGCATGCAATCTGCAACCAAACTTCCTGGGTTTGAATTCCAACTTTACCACATGCCAGATGCATGATCCTGGGCTGACTATTAACCACTCTATGCCCCTGTTTTCTCTTCTGTAAAATGAGGGTGACAACTTCATAGGGTTGGTTGTTGTGTGCATGAAAACTATCACGTGTTATCACTTAGAACACGGCCTGGTATGTGATAAATATTCAGTGACTGTTAGCTGCTGGTGTTATTATTATCATCATTTCCTTTTAAGTAACCTATTCTTCTAAAGTAGAAGCATGCTAAAATTTTCTCTTTATACTTGAAACTCAGAAATTTCACTGGTACATATAAAATAAGTCTGCCTTCCTGATTCCTTCCTGGGACTCAGTGAGCAACTTCAATATGAAGTTTTGACTCCCTCCACTCACATAAAACTCACCATAACACAAAGCTCATTATAATCGTTTTAATAGTGACCACAGGAGACAGAGGAGGCACTTCAAGATGGCTGACTAGAGGCATCTGCACTTACCTCCTCCACAAAGCAGCAGCAAAAAAGTGAGTAGATAATCACACTTCAAATTGATCATCTAAGAGAGAACACTGAAATTCAACAGAGAAGTAACAAGAATACCTAAGACAAGAAAAGAGGGAAGGCAGGCAGGCTACTTGGCCAGGAGCCCAGGGAGGCTTCCCAGTACAGGAAAAGGGTAAGTGAGATTCTCAGTAGTCCACGTGGGCACTACAGACTCCTCCAATCCTAGCCCCAGGGCAAAGCCCCTCCATCCTCACATGTCCTGAGACTAACACAGGGAGCCACTCTGAGACTGCATGAAGGCATTGTTTGAGAGAGTGAGCTCAGGTGGAGTGTGACCTAAGCAGCAAGAGTACTGGCATGGTTTTGAGAACCCAGCTCCCACTCAACTGCATCCTGCCCTGAGGCCCAACAGCCCCTGCCTCCCCAACACACAGCCACCAATGCCATAGGCTGCTGCCACTGAGACCTAAGTAAGAGACACTGGCAGACACCCCACCTCCCCACAGCAAGCTGTCATGCATTTGCACATGCCCAGAGGACAGGCTCCCCTACCCGCAGCAACCACCACTGCTGACCGCTGCCACTGGGGCCAAAGCACAAGCCCCTGGCAGCAACTCTATCACCCTTAGCAGTGTGGTCACCCTACATTAACACATACCCTGAAAACAGGCTCCCAGGTACCCAGCTATCGCTTGGGGCCAAGGCGCACTCTCCCCAGACACCTGCCTACAGTTGCTACCGCTGATAGCAGCTCAGCAATCCCTAGCAGCAAGGCTGGGGTGCATTTGCAAGTGCCCTGAGGGCACCAGCACTGCTGCTGCCCCACTCAAACACTCTCGGGGGAGCATTTGGATCACCCCAGCCCTCCTCGTTACAGCCAGAGCTCCTATAAATCACTTGGAAGGAGCCTGAAGACAG